TATATATATATTAACAAAAACCATTATGTCATCTTAGCAAGATTTGATACAAGGTCAATGGAAAACACAAAGATAAACACAAGTGATTTCTAAGAATGACTGTTGTTAGCAAATCTTTTTCTGACTTTAATCATTCTATCTGCAGATGAACAGCATGTCATGAAAACCGAGGTCATTAAAGGATGTCATGAATTACTTGCTTAAACATAAAAGTATTTGTTCCATTACAACCCTCAAATCTGTAATTTTCACAGAGAATCCACAGCACTCACACAGGGCGGTCAGGCCACGGGGAAAGACAGGATGTGGGGTGGAGCTAATGGAGCGTGTTGGGAGATGGTTATCTTATTTTATTTTATTTATTGTTTTGTTTTTACGTCCTACACAGGCTCCGAGTCTTAAAATACATTTGAAGCTGGGTTATTTTTTTAAATTCCACGAGTTTTGAAAAAAATCTGAGATTTCTCTAAGTGTCTGTATACCTGCAAAATGGGGGGAAATTGGTGTAATTTACAACTTGAGATTAATGCCTATTTTAGATAGCTGCTTGAACTTGCCTTCATTAGCTTAGTTAAAACTGAATTAAACTTGATTTCTCCAAACTGAAATTATCATCAACAGGTGAGATACTTATTGTTCACAACCTTTACACAGAACCCCACTTAAAAAACCTTAAACTATTTATTTAATCCATGTCCTTACATGGCTTCCATATTTTCAGAAGCGCGTCGCTAAATGTTTGTAATGCTATTCTAAGTTCCAAAGGTCAAAGGTGAAAAAAAAAAAACTACACGTGTTTACTGCTGCGAGAATCTTCCAACCAACAAACTGACATGTTTTGGTCCCGTGTTCAGAAAAAAAAAAAAAAGGATAACAGTAAATGAAGCCAGACCATCATTTGTTTACATCAGTGAGTCGGAGCAGACAAGATTAACAGTCATTCTCCTAATGAACTAAAAATAAATACTCTTTGAAGCATAAACTTTGTAACACGGCTGCTTCTACACTTTTGTTAACATGTTGGATTAAAAAAACTACACATTTAGAAAACCCACTTTAAAAGATCTAACTATAAAAAAAGCTAATGTGATTATAGAACACACACTTTACTGTTTGGTGCTTTTGGATAAAAGTTACAGTCACAATAATCTCAGAACAGAGTTCTTTCTCTTCTGTCCTGATAGTCACGTTATCTTGGTTTATCTGTCTTCCCACCAAATCCAGTGGAACTGCAGTAAATTTGCTTTGCAAATAACCGGGGGGCATTGTTACTGCTGAGCTGTCAGAGCCACGGCACATGGAGCTCTGTGAGTGGCTCCCTGCCTGAGAAGCATCCTAGCACAACCTGTTCCCATGCTATTGACTGAGGTGTCATTTCGTAACGCAGCCAAATGTACAGAACATGGCATGAATTTTAAGAGGGACGGGTTGAACTTAAAACCAGCTCGTGCACCTGTAGTGTGAAAGAACGCTCTTTTCACATCTGATGCAATCAAAGAGATCGTAATGAGGGTGCATCTGATAAAACTCGGACATCCAAACCATTACAAAAGGCCGTTTGTTCCCTGAAAGTAATGAATCATTCTGTGGTTGATTGGAGTATGCTATATTTTATTGATGATAAAAGCAGATTTCTGGACACAGAGACGTTTCATCAAGTAACCAAAAAAACCATGACATAAAATAAAAACTGCTTTTCTCTGTACGCTTTTACAAAAATTTCCATCTAAATGTATTAGTCTGAAGAAAAGCCCCTCATAATTGCTTTGAAGGAACATTTTTGTGTGCGTTTCTGTTCATTTTATCTGTACTTGTTTCCCTACTAGCTAGTTCCGTGAAWCTTCTTTGTCATGTCCATTTCAGCAGCTGGGACCCTCGTCTGCTCAATCATTTTAAACATGATTGCATTTCATCTGCTTGTCAGAGCCACACAATTCACCCGAGTATTTATTTGATCAAGTTAGTAGTAGTAGTAGTAGTAGTTCTTTATTCATTTCATTTGTAACACAGATTAACAAAGTACAAAAAAACGTGCAATCAAAATAAA